ATATATATATATATATATATATATATATATATATATATAGTAAGTAAAAAATGCTGCCTGTTTGAGGGGAGGGGCTGGAACAGACTGTGCACAGGATGAGTGGAGTCCTTCATGATGCGGAGAGGCTGAAACGGACTGTGTGCAGGATGAGTGGAGTCCTTCATGATATGGAGCGCCGTCCCCCTGCATTGTGAAGTGTAGAGGTTCGAGTTGGTGGGAAGGCTGCTTCCCACAGTCTTCTGTACAGTCTAAACCACCCTCTGCAGAGCCATCCTCTCAGCAGCATCGCAGCTGCCGTGCCACACGGTGATGCAGTTGCAGAGAACCCTCTCCATCACACAGCGATAGAAGCGCCATTATGATAGCATGCTAACTGGGAAGAAAGTACTCATGGGGAAACTAATTGTATCCCCTTTTGTGATAGTAAAATTTAACACATTATTTGAACAAATTTTAACTTGCAATTACAAATGGCAGAAAACGCATTAGACCTTTCCATAAAATGATTTTGCAATATGGCCACAAAGATGAGGCTCTATTTAGGCTACCTTTGAAAGTTCACAAATTCACTAATCAAGTTGCGACACTGGTTTACTCATTCATATATTGACCATTTCACCCCATCCTCTCCTCATTTGGTGGCTCAGAGGTGTAATAGCTGCAAGTTGACTTCAACTTCCACGCTGCCTCGGTCCTTAATCACACTGAGATCAGAACAATCTATCTGATGGGTTTTTATTTAATTCATTGTTTCCACCTTTGGAGCAGCTCACTGGAATTGTAATAGGAATAGAACTTTAAGGTTGTTCAGGGTTGTTTTTAATTAGTCTGAAATCATAAAATAATCTTTAATTGACAACTATTTGCATCTGTTGACAGTGAGATAATATGCTCCCTTTCCTTCAAAAGAAGTAGGAGTGTATCATACCAAACTGTCAAAGTGAAATGGTGCCCTGCACATCCCTGCCTCAGGCTGTCAATAAAGACGTTTTTCTTCATCTCACACCTATCAACCTTGTTGTATTTCATGGGTGGGTGACTGAATAACAAGTCAAACTAAACAAAAAAGCAAACGTAAATGCATAGTTGGCACCACAAACAGTGTACTGGGGGAGTCAGAAACATGTTTGACTTCATTTTAGGTGTGTGTGCGGTTCACGAGGGAAAGGATTGTGACAAGTCAGGTCTCCAGTGTGTTTTGTCAGTGGAACATGTTATAATTTAGTGTCTAGATTGCTCGACCACGTCAATGAATGAAGGTGTGAATTCTGGGGATGTGTGTAATGCTAATTGGCTATAACTCAACTACTTTAGGGATTTAATTGCAGCCTTCCCTTAAATTCTTTGAATAGATCCTCCTTGTCAGCAGTGTCAGGTTAACCTCCTGTCCACTGTCGGGTTTTTATCCCTGGCTGCCCTTTCGTGTTGGCGCGACAATTTTTTTTCCACAGAACTGTGTGTGTTGCAATCTGTTGAACAGGGAGCGTTATCTCTTGATTGTAGGTCACTTGCTGGGCGATTGTTGATATAGCATACACTTTGCTTTTCAGGAAACGACTTGCTTTAGGTCAGTCTGGTCTCCCAGTATCTTGAGTTGACTTTACCACATTAGCATTTAAGGTGGTAAAAGGGGGCATGCTAAGCAAATTCAAAGTGTGTATGTGTAGATGCCTATAAAGGGAATGGTAAATGGACTGCACTTATATAGCGCCTTTTTATCTCATCAAGATACTCAAAGCACTTTACAACACAATCTGTGTCCTCATTCACCCATTCATACAGCACTCTACTAGATCTCTATAAAGTTAATTGAACAAATCATTCTAAAGAGATTAATCAGTGCTTTATCACATTCATACACCGATGGGACACACATTAAAGGCAATGAGGCATTCAGTGTTTTGCCCAGGGACACTTCAGCATGTGACTGCTGGTGGATTTGAACCCCCAACTCTTGCATTGGAAGATGACTGCTCTAAACACTCAGCCACAGCCGCCCTAAATTATCATCAGCAAGTATTCTTCCTGCAGGAAAGCTGGCAGACAAACTCCTCACCTCTCTATTTATGTAGTCCAACTGGCCCAAGTTTAGACTCCCCCACCCCATCTCTCCTTCCTACACCTCAGACCATTTCTGGGATAGTAGACATGGTGATCATAGCTGACTGCGAAGCCCCTGAAGGCTTACAGAAGCACCTAGGTGGGCGTCTGAAGGTTTGTCTGTGTATAATGGCATGTTTCCACTTGTCATACATGTGCACACATACAGTATATGCATGTAGTCATTTAAATATACTGTAACTGTCTTGCATTTTTCAAGTAAAAACCCAAACAGGCAGACTGAACGCAAAGGCATTCACACATAACACAAATAATTGATGCAGAGGTGTTATAGTATATAATCAGCTGTCAGGAATTAGTTAAATTATTTGATTGTATATCTGTACTTGTTCAATGTACTTTCCATGTTGCGTTTCAGGCATTTTGACTCTGCAGGATTCTTGGTAGCATCACAGAAGGACTTTTGCTGTGGCGCTTAGCAGCATGCTCCAATGATCAGGAACATATACGCCTAACCTTCCAGCATATGGTTACACTGCTGCCTTTTGATCTTGCGTGTATGTTGTAGGTTACATCTTTACATCAGAGCCACAGTCTTTGTTCTAATGTCTGCCTGAATACCAGTTTGTTTCACTGTTATTTAAACAGTCTAATTTTCCCATTCAGGCTGTAAATAATCTAAACACGACTCCCTGGAAACCCCTCGCAACGCTTGTTAGTTGTTAGTTGTGTATGTGAAGACAACATTAGAGTCCATGTGTGAGGCAGCAGGGATGTGTGTGCGTGCATAGATGTGTTTCATCTGTCAAAGTTGGGTACAGAGCAGACATCGAACCCTGCTCCCCCACCACCACACCCACCCAAAACCCACTCTGCCTCAGATTTTATAGAAAGCATATTGTGTAGAAGCCGCCTCTCCCCCTTCTTTCTTTGCTTTCGTCGCCTCCTCTGCTGTGATAATTAGTAGTGGGGTAATACAGGGGGTTGAGATTGAGAGTTTAGAAATCCCCTTTCCACTCCAGCAGTGTAACTACAGCAGAACACCTCACACCCTTCACATGATCACCTAAAGCGTTTGCAGATGGTCATACATGTAAAATTTATTAAGGGGGAAAGAAAGCAAACTTGAAATTCCAGACAGCAAAATTTTGGGGTACAGTTTTCTTATAGATCTTATTAAATTACAGAACGGGGAAAAAAAATGAGAGCCCTGGTTTCTTTGTAGCAGCCAAAACCATGTCTCAACACATGCTCGACAACATTACAGGTGTCTATCACGCCAGCCAAGGCTTTCTGGTAAAAACCTCATCTCTATTCACTGCCATGCCTCGAACATCTGCTGCTGGGGGCACTCCAGAGATCATTAATCCCTTCACTGCACGGCAAGACCGCCTTCCTTTTGTTGCAGAGAGGACATCAGGGTGAAAAGAGAGCATGAAAGCGGACAACTTTTTTGGGGGGTTGGACCTCTTAAAGGTCAAGTTTGGGGAGAAAAAAATGCAGTCTTTCGTTTCTATTTATCTTACCTCCCTGGAGTTTTCTTTAAAAAAAACAACATAGCCTCTGCAAACAACAATGGCTTAAATAATAATGTCAATTCAATTTAAATTCTTTCAACCAAATGCTAGGGGTGCACCGATCGCAGTTTTCTGGACGATCACGATCTCTAAAAAAACTGACCTGCCTATTCCGATTTTAGCCGATACCGATTTTGTTTTATAAGTGACACAGCCAGATGTTATAAGGTCACAATGCACCTTCAATTTTTCAATCTTATTTTACTGAAAATATTCCCTTGAACAATATCCTGGAAACAATACAAACTTGTTTTAACTGACCATGAGGTAGTGCTCTGAAATACAAATGAAGTTTAGACAATTCTTGTTAAAACTACAAAAAAATCTGTAAAATCGGTTTCTCATGTCGCCTATCACCCAAAATTAAGGAAATCGGGGCCGATAAATCGGTACATCCCTATTAAATGCTCTTTACTTTACAGGGTTGGTTTATTGTTGTGAATAATCACAGACCAAACTTTAACAAAATATACCTTTTGTGGTTTGCAACTCATCCTAACATTATATCGCACAATGCAATACATGGTTTAGAGTCCTCTGAATGTTCTTGGGTGGCTTCTGTGTGGACTCAAGTTTACGTGTTCACATGCAGTGGATGAAGGAATGCCAACGTTCAGTGTCCAAACAGAAACCCAAATCTCATTTCAACTTTCTGGGAAAACCTGACCCCAAAATTTGCACTGCCAAACTGTTTTACTTGTGTAGTTTCAGTAAAGTGAAGCCCCAAATGACTTGCACTGCAGCAAGATGCACAAACTGACATTTATCTCTTGTGTCTTCCATTCAGAAACTTCAGACCTTTCAAAGCCTGAGCTGGCCTGGATTCTCAACCTCTGACATCTTCCAGTCAAGCCTGCCCCTGCCCTCTTTTGAGTCTGCAAGCCAATCAGAGTCAGACTTCACGGCCGTGTCTGAGCTGGGACTAGAGTCACGGGAAAAGGTGATAGATGACGAAGAAGAGGACTTCTCCTACGAAGAAGTGGATAGTGATTCTGCTTGTAGCGTGGACTCACGGCCTGGGTCGCCTGCGTGCATTGTGGACACTAAACGCATCCTCTGGAAGGGTGACTGTGGAACACAGAAGGATATTTTCCAGCTTGGGGGAGAGCTGGACCTTGACCAGATTGAAAGAAACTGAACATTCTAAAGAGGTTTTTAAAGACTGTGAAATCTGTTATAGAAAGTCACATTTGATGAACCAGGAAGTGATTAATGTGTCCTGCTAGAAAATCAATGTTTTGAAAGGGAAAGATGTTAAAATGACTGGGAAGGTATGTCACTAAATGTTGGCTTCTTAATGACACAAATGCCTTGGACATTCTTTCTGCTTTAACAATTAAAGCAGCTACCTTAGTTGTTCATGTTTTTGAATGAAGCATTTGCCTTTACTCAGGAGTGGAAAAGTGAGGCGTTGTCTTTAAAAGCAAATCCCAGACCTCACTGTAACCTCTAACCTGACGATCTTTCAAAAATCAGCTCGCCTTAGATCTTATAGTACTGTAGCGGTAGCTGGGATCTCCTTTGTTTAGCTCCAATTTTATTTTTTCAGAGTGATTAGAAGTTGGAGTTAAAAAAAAACCATATATATAAATATATACAATATTCAGTTTGGCCTTTCCTCTTCATCTTTTGTGCACTTGTGTAAATTTTTTCATCTGAATGTAGGCTCAATAAGCTTTATGAAGAGTTCAAAGAAATGAAAAGTGCCTTCGTTGGAATGCTCTACTCTAGTAGTGCTCATCAAGAAACCTGCCTCACTGAAAGCCACTGTCTCTGACGTTCATATGCAAGTTGTATGTTTGAATTAAACACTGAATCTTGTTCCAAGTTCTAACAGCAATGTGTGTTTTTCTACACGGCATAATTTTTGTGCGCTGTTTGTAAGGAAGTGAGGTTGCGAAGCCTTTCTTCGGACAAAATGGAAATAAATTGACAAACTGGCCCTTTAACATGTTTGGTTTAATTTTAGTTGGCTGTTTTTTTTTTCCTTTTAATTTCTGTGGAGCACAGATTTTACTTTGACTGATCAAAAGCTTGAATGAGCAGCAGTTTCCATGTTCTTAACAAGCTGCACCCACTCCCCCACGATCACTTCCTGTAGACATTTCAGAACTATTTTATTGAGACCCACTACTTCTAGCTTCCCTTTTTCCAACCACAATGAATGCATTTCATTTCACTTTCTTTTATTGGGCAAAAAAAAAAAGATAATTCCACTACACATCTGTAATCATGTTTTTTTATTTTTTTTCAGTTAACCTAGTTTTGTGAAACATTACACTTGCACACCATGTGTAATCTCAATGTTTGTCCACCTGTAGAGTATACAATAAGAAGTACTTTAACTGATTGTGTGACGGAGTTAGCACAGATGGGCTCCTTATCAACCGACAAGACATACAGCAGGACAGGTGGTGGAAATGTTTACATGACCTTTATCCTACAGTCTCCTGTTGGACTGAATCTTCTTTTAGGCTTTAACTTTGCTGGTAAAAGTACTCACCAGTAGATGATGTTGGGCTTGAAATGCAAACTATAACAAACCTGCACGTGTGTCAGTTTTCATTCACCGAAAGCAGCCCATCATGTATGTTTTTTGAACTTTGGGAGGAAACCGGAGTTCCCGGAAACAACCCACTCAAACACAAGGAGAACATGCAAACTCCACATGGAAAGACCCCAGGCCCAACCTGGAGATTGAACCCACGATCCTCCTTCTGTGAGGCAACGGTGTTAACCACGAAGTTGTCGTGCTGCCAGATATACTGTGCACTTGCACCACTTTTAAAGATGATATGAAAATAAATCAGTTTGATCCATTTTTGCTATGAATCGAGGTGGACAAATATGTTTGTTAGTGGGGTGCAGGGGTCTAACGGAGATGTGACTGAAAATTTCAGTTCTCTAAATGATATCTGGGATGGGAAAAGGTGATGACGAAGAAGATGACTCTTACGAAGAAGTGGATAATGATTCTGCTTGTAGCGTGGACATGCGAAGACATGCAGTCTTTTTGTTTTTGGATTTTTGATGCCATGCAAAAAGTGCCAACACGGTGTTACTATAATCGGAAACTTAAATGTCATGACTGCACGACTTAGGATAATGTCAAATAAGCTCCTTTTAAAGAAGCCTTCATGATATGACCTCTATACCAATGTTGAGCACTTGCAAAGAATAATAATTCAATTCAGTTTATTTATATAACGCCACATCACAACAGAAGTTATCTCAGGGCACGGAACAGAAACATTCATATGTATAAAATTCTATTATTAACATTATTATCTAAGGTAAGGTAGCGTAACCATCAGATTGCGTTGAGTCTTCATTTCGTTGCAGTCTCCTACAATAGTAATTCAAATAGAAATTCAATTGAATGATCTAATTTTATCAATTATAGGCTTGTCACCAATTTTAGTTGTAAAAAGTTTGATGAGACAAAAGTGTGAGAGGGTTTTAATGAAATATTTTGAGAGTTTATTGTTTTTTATGGTATATCAGATGTTAACATCCTGACTTTACTTCAATGACTGGATGGTGATTGATGAAAAAAAACTTAAGTGAAATCTGGGCTTTGCCCTCAAAACTCCAAATAAAATGCCAGGAAGTCCAGAGTTGGAATATTCCTGGCTGCTAACCCTGCAGTGACCAGAGGAGGTGACGTCAGCAGAAAACATCTCTGGACCTCCAGCGCAGGCAGACAGACACGTCAACAGGGCAAGGCTGTTCCTCACTGGGATTTCCTATCATGTCTGATGTCTGTCCAAGCTGCTGTGACAAACCCAGTGCATCTGCCATCTTTATAACACCGATCCCCAAAGGCGTCTATCTCTAAAATCCAGCAAAGGTCTCTGTCATCTTTATTATTGGTCACCAGGGATGCAAGCTGCTGAAAGTGACAGAGCCCAATTGTTTTTCCGACACATGGGGTAAAGCCTTGGCTTTCAAAACAGTGTTTGTGTTCAAAACAGGATGTTACAGCCACTTACAGCTTTTCCTTTAATCGTGGCCTTGAAGGAAGGTGAACTCAGACATCTTAACACTCAGTCTGTGGCTCCCACAAACACACAGCCAAACACGTAATGCACAAATTCATACTCAAAAGACCCTGAAGCAGATGCTAAGTGTGCATCCTGTTTGTATATGCAGAAAACCCCAGCCTTTGTTTTTATTCCTAGTGGGTCAGCCAATCTGTAAAATGGATTTTCCAAAAGACATCAGACGTGAGTTCGCTTCTCTCTCCTTTAACTTGACAGGAAAAAGTTGGAAGCACGGCATGCTGTTGCTATAAACAGTAGTTTTAATTATTATTTTTTTAAATTTGTATGGAGGTCAGTAAAGCACACACACAAACTCACACATTTCCTCTCTCACAGGAAGTTGCAGGCAAAGCTGGAGAGAGAGAGTTAATAACTGATGTAAAAGCACTATAAATAGGGAGTATTGTAGTTATAGTTGGCAGAAGGGGATGGAGAGAAGGAGACAGGAAAGGCTATGTTTGACAAATTTACAGCTTGACCTCGATTTCATGTGAGAAAACATTGGCTGTATTTGAAGCAAAAATAATTAAAAATTCCTCCAGAAGAGGTTAAAATAATGAGATCATTTCCCCCTCAGCCTTGAAAGATATAAACTAGTCTTTACATTCAGATGACTGGAAGCTATGTTTGCATCTTTCCATTGAAATGAAAGTGTTTTTTGTTCAAGGCGGACGCCTTTTCTTCCCTCTCCCATTCTCCTCCTGCTTTTTTGCTCTCTGTCTGTGTATTGGAGCTCCTATTTACACATCTTACGAAACAAAAAACTATTGTCATGGATCTGGTCAGCTGGACTTTAAACGCAATCGATAAAATCTTTTTAACAAAGTGACAGGGTCCTGGAGAGCCCTCATACCCCGCTGAGACGCACGCGGCAGGATATGTCATGCCGTATTGTCTCAAAAGGACATTGAAGATGTTTATATAATTAGAACCATGATAGCAGGGTTTCTGCTTTTTGGCACCGGCGGATTCCTATGTTATCGGCTATTGAGGAAGACAGCGGCAGCATTTTCGTCCATGGCAAAACTGTTGAGTCTGTGTGAAGGTTTGGTTCATGATTCGAGTACTCAAAATCAGCTGCTTTACGAGCTAAACCATAAGATGGAAGCGATTTGTGAGAATTGCAGGCCACCTGCGGCTTCTGGGACTTGCCAGCATGTTGGGGACAACCTTCGAGGGGGCTCATAAGTACGGACCAGTGGAATGCCCACAAATCTGGCCATTTTGGATTGAAAGTACCAGCAGGACTCAAGGCTGACAAGAAAAGAAAACTGTTTTCCTGGAAAAAATCAACAGTTGTGGCTTACCTGAAAATCTGACTCCCCCGTTTGGCCTTCAAGTAGACTGACTGATCAAATTTCTACTGTGATATGTGTAAACTCAGGAAAAGCTCTGTCTATCGCAACCCCCCCTCACCGCCCCGGGAACTTATGTGAAGGCTTATCAGAGCTGCAGAGCTCTACCGGCTGACACCAACATCTTATCGTGACTATGGTGCTATCTGGAAGTGCTTCATGGACAAATCTCACCGTCTTGTCGTCAAATGCAATGCATATGTATTGTGTTTATAAATGCACTTGCTGGTAGAGGTTTTTTTTTGATGGCTTAAATCATGTTCGGATAAGGACAAGATGTGAAGAGATCGTTTTTGTAATACCACTATCCTATCCTCATGGCCTTTTCCCTTTTTATATCTAAAAAGTATTCTGAAAAAGCATTAAGGGGCTGCGCTCTGAGGAGCAGCAGCAACGTGCACTCCGCCCATCTTTCAGACGACTGTACGTACATAATATCACTGTATTTTGGCACAATGATATTAAAGCTTACTCTGATTCTGGTTCTGATAACCTTCTTTGTGTAACTAAATAATCTTGTATTCAGACTTACATTTCAGTTTTTTCAACTTTGTGCCTTATTTTAACAACTGCAAGTTTATCTTGTAAAGACATCCTAAAGATTTTTAATATGTATCCATAAGATGAATGGGGGTGCAATCAATAACAGTGAAAATAATCTTGATTACAGGCACAAAAACCAAACAGCCTTTAGTCATAACAATAAAAGCCTTTACACGTGGGACTTCCATCTGTTATATTTCCAACATAATAAATATGATTATAAAATAACTTACAAAAATCTTTGTTTCTTTTTTACCTGTGATATGTCTGCTAATAGATTCTCTTGACAAGAAACATCTGCACTCGCCAAGCACAATAAGTAAACTATCTTTGGAATAAAATAGAAAAAACTAAAACTGATAAAGTGGTTGCCATAGCAAGGTGGTCAGTGCTGCAGTCTTGTAATCCTGAGGTTGCGGGTTGGAGCCCAGGTCATAAAAATGATTGTCAAATCTTTC